ATTGTATGCCGTCTGCCAAGGAAGTAACATTTCTGGAGGAACGTGCCATCCATGCCGCGTACTTCGTAGCCAGAGCCGGATCAAATGGCGGCAAGTCGTTTCGTCGTCGTCGTACGCTTCCCGGCGGTGGAGGAGAGCCCAGTTGTTCAGGAACAAAAGATCGCCACGCTCGAGATCAAGCTCCAGCTCCGTGGACCGGGCAGCTTCTTCCAGTTTCTGGAGGGCATATCTCTGGTCCTGGGTCAGTACAGGGATGGATGATCCACTGGATGCCGGATGGGGACCAAATCTATTGGGGTCCATGCTGGTCATCAACCGGTCATGGTGCCATTTCATGACTGGTGCCAAGTAGTGTTGAGCATGACGCCCAGAACTGAGCGGCCTTAGCTTCTGTCATGTACATGTGTTCGGACGAGAGCAGGAGTTGGTGCCTACCATTGGACCGGCCAGTTTGGCTCGAACAGCGTCCGCACAACGGCGGGTTCCACGGTGATCAGCTGGTTGAAGATGCTCGCCGCTGAACTGACAAAGGTAGAGCCCCTGCTGTGGGCGCAGTGACGCACTTGGAGTGCGAGAATATCGCATCCCATATCGTTGTGGAACGGCTTCAGGGCAGCTTGTCAGTACGATGCTGAGAGAGGCGGGTTGACATCTTGAGACTCAACCTACCAAAGCCGCATTGGAATGAATGCCGTGCCTCTTCTCCAAGGGTACGTCCCACATTTTGGAGCTCGTGATATGTCCTAGCAGAGTATAGAGTTACTACAGTACCTTTCTTGATGTAATATCACTCGCATTGTCATACTGAGAACATTGCCCTCTCGGTCTTGAATGCCTCGCTGGTCCGCAATGTAGCTCGCAATGCCGAGATATATGACGATACTGTCCTCCACTGTGTAGTGAGACATGTCTATCCCTTTGATAACGAAGAACCCGAGCCCGTCATGAAGGATTTTGGAACATTTTTCGAGCCTTTCCGTGAGATTGGGTAACGGAAAGTTTGCCTTGGACACTTCATCCCCATCGAGACAGAGAGCTATTTTTTTTATTGGTTAGTCTCACGGCCGTATTGACAGATGCGTGCTCTTACGTCTCACCTTTAAACGCCTCCAGAGCCTGTTCAACCTCGGCAATATCCTCACTGGTTAGGCAGAGAGCGTACAAGCTGTTGTTGTGATGATAGTCTTGTCCTGACCAAATGAGTTGCCCAGACAACGTCGTTGGAATGCGGACCGCAGAATTTCCACCCAATGACCTTGTGGAAACGCGTGTTTCTTTCGATCTGCCGGTGCTATTTTCAGTTGGATCCCCGGCGTTGATTGGTTGTGTAACAGACTTGGTGAAAGTGCCGAGGGCCATGTTTTACTTGCATACGGAGTACGAGGTATGCTCAATAGCAAAATCAAAGTATGAAGACTACAGTTTGGATTTGTTAAAGACACTCAAAGGTACCAAAAGAAGCGAGCCATCGAAACTTCTCAGCAAGTGTGGGTTGTTGACCCATAATGTACTCGGCGTTGATCCCTGAATAACTCATTCCATGTTCGATTCCACTTGAGAACATTCACACAGCCAGATTCCAAGATATAAACAGTTATGAACGCCAGGAGCAGTACGGAGTATTCGTCCTCTGCATTGTCCCGTGAATACATCATGTTGGAGTCATAAGTGACCCCTGGTTCTGATTACTCTTCTTCTGCAAGGTCCTGTTAAAGAAAACGACTGAATCACGGGCCCGATGCAACTGCACACCGGACGCAATGCCTTACAGGACACCAATGGGCCCGGCGTCTTCCAAGGACAAATCCGTTTCATTGGTATGAGAACACCGTAGCCTGCCATATGGCACTAGACATTCCGGCGAGATCGGGGGCCAGCATCTACTAGGGCTCTTGCGATTTAACGACTCGGTAGCCGAGCTTGCTACTATTGAATACTTATGACTCGTGAGTCGTGAGGCACCAAGGGGGAAATAAAAGCGTCGGATTAATCACTCACAAACTACCAGAATAGGGTTCCCTTCCGCTTTAGGTTTATCAGTAGCTTAAAAGTGGTAGCGTATTAAAAAGTTTCAGGTTTCGAACAAGGTTCTGCGACTGCCATATATAACATCATGGCATCGAAAAAGCGCCACACACCCTGCAGAAGGGTCCGATATCCTGGTGCTTTCGATACAGGGCCCAAGTCTGGCCACTCCTCTTGGCTTGGGCGAGGACCCAAAATGTGACTGGGAAGCTAGAATATCAGCTAAAGACTTTCAAATATGCATGCAACGGCTTCGAGCGTGCCTGTGCGAGAAGCATGGCCCATTAAACAACAAGCATATCGATACATACAAGAAATCAGTGATGACAAACGGCCCGCCGTCCAAGTCCACTTTGCCCCTCATCTTTCCAGCACTGATAAGCAATGAGCACTCCTTAGGCAAGTTCCCTTATGCGGCGGACGGCTACTCGACGGTGGTGACACCTATTATTGAAATTCAAAACAACTGGTTGCCGGTTGCTGTCGACTATAAAAAGAGCCATCGACCTGCCTGCGAACAAGCAAAAATATGCTGACCCAAACATGTCGATCAACGTTTCCGTTCTTTGTTTGGAACCGCAGAGCAGAAAGCATATCGTCACCTCTACGAGGTAGCTGGGGTTCTTGGCGGCAGGCAAGCTGCGTGATGATGGTGAGCACGAGGCAGCTAGAATATTACTACTCCGTACGGAGTACAGCCATTGGCTGACAGAGCAGGGTTCGATGCATGGGCAGGCCTTTGAATTTCAACCGGTGTACGAGTAGGGGTAGGGCCGCAACCGAATGGGCCGCACAGGGAATCTGGCTCCATCCGCGCAGGAGTATCAACGTGACACGGACAAGGGGTTGAACAGAAGAGCCAATTATTCACAGACCTGTCTCGGCCTGGTCCGAAGCAGAGCATCCGGAATGTGCCCGTGGCCCCCGTTGTAGGGCTATTTTGTGGTCGAGAAGGCCACGCTCAAGACTGGATAAAGAGAGGGAACCAGGGGCCTGAGGCTGCATGACGGGCAAATGCGTACGGAGTACTCCGTACATGTGTAATGTCGGCGGCGTTGGCTGTTGACGGGAAATCAGGGACCTGGAGGAATGACCCCACCTTCCGGTAGAACTTCGGTGCTTGATTACGTCAGCACTCGGGCAGCCAACAAGCAAGCACACACCACGGCTTTGCACAGTCAAGGTATCCGTACCAAGTAAAAGAAGAAAAAACCCCTGATACAGTGACAGTCACTCAAGTACCCGTTGGTCTGCGAAGATAACTCGAGTATGGAGTACGGAGGTCCGAGTGCGCCGTGCCATGGTATCGTACGGAGTACTTATGGCACATGTGTGGGTACCAGGCAGGATTTCACGATTTCATGGCTCTTGCCGAACTAGGTGGCGGATTTCGTGGATGGGCACTTTCCCTTTCCATCATAACGCCCAACGCCTAGCGCCCAACACAATCACCGCAAGACCGAGGATGGAGCATAATAGAGTCCGCATGTCCTAGTGCTGTCTGGTACTCCATACTCCGTACAATCCACACGTGTTGCAGCTGTCAAAGACCAGTCCCTGGACCTTGCTCAGATCTCGCCTTAGCGGGTGCAAGTCGTCGGATTGCAGGGTCTCGCGTTTCGACAAGGGTTGACAGGTTCGTCACAAAAGAAAACACAACCATGACCCCAAAGCGGGGAAACTCACGACTGACTATGCTGTGATTCTCGGTGAGAACCACAACCCCCAACCACCACCGCATACGCAGTCGTTTGGACACTTTGAGGCGCCCACCGCTTTAATCTCTCGCGCGCTGGCGTTTGCATGCCTGGTGCTGCCGTATCACCTCACATATCATCGGACGCCTGGCTAATCGCGTGCCCCGCCTCGTGCTCCAGGGACCAGAGCCATCCTGGGTGCTGCTCTCCCATCCTCGCCATTTTAGCCCCTTTCTGTTCCGTGCTCCATGCTGTATTCTCTCTCTCTGGTATTGTCTGTCCGACAAGGCCGGTTACTGCTTGAATATACTCCGTATATCCCTTTTTTTTTTCCCCTTCGGCGCAAGGAGACGGAGTATTGGTCACCTGTGCTACACACCTGCGTGGGACCCTTCTCCCTCGTCACGACCGTGTGTAGAATACAATACATAGAGCGCCGTCATGGATCCCACAATCAGTATTCGATCTGGACCGATGGTAAGTGACATGTTTTTTTATTCTCGTCCTATTGTGTGTTTCCATTTGAGTTGCTCACCGTCACTGCGCGGCCCGGACGACCTAGTAATGCCCCATATCTTCTCTCTTGTCATGTCTGGCAAACAAACTGCCTGCAAGCCTCCATTGATTCACCCCCCCCAATCATTATGATAAGTTACTCCATATTTTATTGTATTGTACATACGGAGTATGGTACCGAGTACTTGTTATTGCCCGTTAAATCCTTGCTCTTCTTACACGCAACTGCCAGGCTGTGTTCTGGGCGCAAACCTTCTGGTAGCCGTGTGGGATCAACGACCTTTCTGATTTTCCAATGAGGAGCCTTAAACCGTGATAATTCACTAGTACATGCCTCTAGCAGAACGAGAGGAGGGTCTCCATAGTTAGTGTACCCCGGGGCCAAACTCTAGATTATCTCACATGAGTTTTGACGGGGGTTATTTCTTCAACCGGACCTTTTTGGCCTGTCAACTACATTCGAACACAACACAACACATCAATGATATCACCCTTTCAAGCCTGCTGACCCATCTTCTCAATAGACCAAGCAAGGATCGAAGCGCAAACGAACCACCAGAGATGAACCACCTGCAGCAAATCGGGCTTCACGACGGAATAGTGACCAGTTTCCGGGTGAACGCAGAGTCCGTGACCAGACGCAAGTAACAGACTCACCCGGTTTTGCTTGGCATGTCAGCCCCAGCACGGATACAACCGAAACACCTCGGCCCAGCTCAATAGCACTTGTATCGTCGTACGCAGCCAGCTTACAATCTCACCATGGATATCGTGAGACCGCCGTTCGCCGTCGCCATGGATCTACCCTGTTGGTTGAGCAAGTCCAACCGAGCCTTGCATCTCCGGGCGCCGGTACCCTATCCTGCGCAATGCCAATCGCGTATACTCAAGCACCGTTATGCGGGAGCTCAATCCCGACTACGGGACTACTTCACTCCCAAGGGGATACTCAGGTGTATAATAATAACTACTGTTATGGGCTAGGCCCAGACTTTGGTGAAAAGAATGCCGTGGATCACCAAAGGCCGTCACATCAAGGCACTCTGGTATCACCCTGGCCAGTCTTCGCCGATGAGAGTCGAGGGCAATGTCAAGGTCTAATAGTACAAGGTAGTCCAGTCAGTACCACGGAGCATACAAATATACAGCTTTATCCCGGAATCGTCGGTTCCAGCAATCTACAAAACTTTTCTCCCCACAACGTATCTTCCTTTCAGCCATCGATATTTGGCTCAGCCGTCGAGGCTCAACAAATTTCCTTCTCGGCAGCGTACAACCCCTATCCGTTTGTCCCCGAATTCAGTGCAACTACCACTTCCACGCCTGATAATTCGCCAGTGCAGAATAGCGACACGTTGCACGTCTGCGTATCCAGTGGTCAAACCGCAGTCACACTGACGAGCGAGCAGGCCTTCGCTGAAATGGGTGGAGGCGAGATACATCTCCCGCAGCCCTACAACCATGACACCTACAAGCATTTTGCTCCAGAACAGGGAGCACAAAATGTCAGTTCTGCACCGCTTCTGCCGATAGTCACAAAATCCCTGCTAGACGACTTGGAGTTACCTTCCACAGAGCCAGAGCTGGGCAGCGACCTCTTGTCCTCACAACCAGTGGTGCCAGCAGTGCTAGCGATGCGACCAGCGCAACTCGTACCACAAAGTTCCAACCCGGAGACTGGACAACTGCTGACAACAAGTCACCGCCAAGATGATGTTGAGGCAGCATCTGACAGCAGCCGTCCGAGCTCGGCTAGCGGAAAGAACGCCATGCACTTGGTCAAGAAGCGTGGCCCATTTAATTTGCAGAAGCGTAAAGAGACTGCCGAGACCCGAAAGAGGAAAGCATGCCTGAGGTGTAGAGTTCAGAAGATTCGGGTAAGCAGATACACAACACGCGCCTTACGACTCGTTATTTCTTAACCCCACATGCAGCGATTGGCTAATAAATAAGTTAGTGTGACGCAGATCAAGATGAGGTCGAAGGCTCCTGCCTCCCATGCCAAAGCTTCTCGAAAGTCTCCAAAAAGACCCTCCACCATGTCTCTTGCTTTCGTGGCAAGTTGACAGACGTGGTGCTTTTCCGCCAAGGCGGTCTTAATCTCACACAACGATGGAAGGGTACAGAAATGAAAGACGTTGGCGATCGGGTCAACACGGACATTCGATCGATACAGATAACATTGGGTATCTGCGATACACCTATTGAGATCAAGGTAGTCCGCTTCCGGGCCGCTGCATCGGATGTTGTTGCCCGCTTTTGGACCGTGAGAGAGGGCGAGCGAGGAGACGAAATAAGAAAGAAGAAGGACCTGGAACCGTTTTGTCTCGTCGACATCTGGGCTACGGCAACGTACTTCGAGAAATATGTTGTTGACAATGCCATTGCGACTATAGTCAAAAACTATACACCGCATAAAATGCTACAAAACACGCTCGCAGGGCAGGATGTCATTAGTAGGACATACATTGCGGCCGTGCAGTACTACTTGAGCTTGGAGGTGAGTGTATTTACCTGCGCCTGATTGGTAGTCACTGACCTCTAGGAAAAGGATGAGGTAATGATTCCATCTGGGAAGATAGCCAACCCTCAGAAGAGGCTTCTAGGGAACCTCTTTATATTTTGGCACGCAAACCGTGGGTTCACCAACGGAAAAATGCTTCCTTCTTTTTTGACGAGAAAGCTAACAACGGTGACCATGCAGAACATACCGCTGGCTCAGCCTACATATGCGGCAAAGAAACTCTTAACATGAAGCCTGAACTCAAGGATGAAACATACCCTCTCTTCGGCAAAGTTTCCGTTCCTCGAATGATTCTCGCCCAATTCGACAGCATCAATCACCGCAAACTTCTCCAAAGATATGGCCAAAAAGTCCTCCGCGACCTTGAAGCATTCATCTTTCGCAATCAGTCGGTTCTTTGGTGGCCGATATACCTCACAGTCTTCATTTTGCTACACGATGCAAGTAAGCTGAGCGCGGATAGGTATCGTCATGCCAGGAATAACTTTGGTGGGAGAGTACGCAACCCCTTATCTGATCGGCTTGGCATCTCGCCTTGTAGCGCCTACTGACCTCTTTTTCGTTATATGCAGTATCGATACTCTATACCCAATTTTGTGGAAGAGCTTCAAGAAGGATGTAACAATATCCTTGTTCACTGGCACTACTACAACTGCCATCCTTGGCCGAAACCAGACGATCCGTGGGAGCGCCATAACCACTTCATGTCTGAGCTGACATCGGAGCAGTACGACTTGGTCATGGACACTATGACAGATAGACGTGTGCAGAAGCAACTTGCCGCATGGGCGAAATGCAGGCAGGAAAACGGGATGAGTGAGTAAAGGACCACCATGTCGCAGCGTACTTCAGGCAGACTTGGCTGATGACATGCAGTGGAAAAACCACCGATGCGTCCGATGGGTAAACAAGCAACACCGTATATGGGCTCCCAGACCAACTATGACTGGGACCATCCATGTTACTGGATAACGCAGATGTTTGAAGAGCGGTGGCAACCACGCCCCACGTACCAGCGGGAGTATATACATTAGTAGTTGATGGAAATACCACGGGACGAGTGACTACGACTTTCGAGAAAAGGATACGCGAAGCAGACGGATTGACAGCATTCATTTGTGGTGCATGTGTATTTTCGTATTTAGACTATTGTCCTACAAGGCAGCTGGGGACATGATCCTGCAGCTTTCGAGAAAAGGATACGCGAAGCAGACGGATTGACAGCATTCATTTGTGGTGCATGTGTATTTTCGTATTTAGACTATTGTCCTACAAGGCAGCTGGGGACATGATCCTGCAGCTTTCATTATATGGTTGTCTTTTAACGCGCCTGATGATAAGTCAACCCAAGTCGTAGCCAACGTGGTTTAGATGTGTGAATGAAACGCCATCTCAAAGTAGAAACTACCACCGAATCTTATTTTGTCTCCATGCTTTCTTGTGTGGGTTGTGTTGTAGCGCACTCGAGACTTGAATCTCGAGTTGTTGCCCCAACCCTCGCTCCAGCTGAGGAACCAATACCATACGACTCGGCGTGTCGGCCCTGTGCCACCATTCCTATGAGTCAACAGGAGATTCCTGATCATCCGAGTCGCACACCTCTCTGAGGGGGCTGCCCAATCCATGACTCTTCATGAGGGTCACCCTGCCACCTTCCGGGTATTTATTGCTCCATCGTTCTTGATTCCGCGCCTGGGCTTTCTTACAGCCCTTGGCCACTTCTCGCGTTCGCGACAGGCAGTTCCCGTGCCGTATTATTTCTCTCTGGAGCTGCTCCATATGCCACTCGTGGATCAAGGGTCTGGTGGTGGCGAAGAATGCTCCCCCGGTGTTATTGCCCGGTTTAGTACCACCTTCATGCAGTACACAGCATCCTTTGCTGAGATGCTCCAAAAGAGCTTGCAGAGTGGCGGGAAAGGTGTTGCTATCCACGCCCGTAGTCCTGCGCAGCGCGGCCTCCAGGGCCATGTCCAGAGCGGTTGCTAGGTCGGTCCCCTGCTGACAGGCGTCTTGCGTATCATGGTCGTGGTCAGTATTCGCAAACCACGTGTTGTAAAGGGTATATGTCTGCTCATCTTGCCACTGCCGCACGAGCCGGAGGTCCTTCAACCACGGACTCTCCCAAGAAGACTTGCGTTCGTCAAAGGACTCGGATAGCTGATCTTTTTCTTCTGGTAGCTGATGAGGAGGAGGCAGCTCAATATAACTCGCCGCACATGCAACACCCCGTGGTGACGCATATCGTAGCGCGTCGTCTCGAATCTTGAGTAACCAATCAAAATATTTCTGTAGCGCGTCTTCTATAATGTTGCGGTGAGTACGGGAACACTGGGCAGTATCGTGGCGTTTGCCCCAACTCATGCTTGGGACCGACGGTTGTGGTTTGTTTGTGGCAATCGCTGGCCCTGGATAACCCTCGCGGAGGTAGGGGTTGAATGAGCTGAGCGTACGTATTCCGCGGCCTGTGAGGAAGGCAGAGGGCTCATAGTGTATCGAAGAGCATGGATGTAAAATGAACAAGAAGTCGGGGGCAGCACGACTTTTCGAACAAACGCGACGTTATGGCGATGGTTAGGCAACGAAGGTAAGCGACTGCATGAGGAAGGAGCAACGTTGGTTGAAGTGATGTGACGGTCAGAGCTCGCAAACAGACCACATCAATGTGAATGGTGTGTGCAGAAATATGAAACGGATACACTGTCAAGAAGAAATAAGCGACGACACAGTTCAGTAGAAACTCGCATCCTTCATACAAAGGCCTGTGGGTTTCCGTGTACAACTTTTCATTGCGCCAGACCTCTAATGCTGCCTCAACACTTGCTCCGTATTCAATACTGATGATGAAATTGCTGCAAGATAAGCTGCATCTCGCACATGCCGCATCCAGGTGCAGCTCACGGCCATCTGCGCATATAATTACAATATTATCCCCTCGTCCAGGCCCGTCGACTTCGGAACCGGCACCTGATGTCCCCTCTCAGTCTTCTGGTCGCTGGTCTCTAACCTCCAGCCTCGCGGCTCAAGAATATCTCAACAACAATCCGTTCTTTTTCCTTCACCGTCTTATCTCTATCGTTTGTCCGGAATACGAGAGGAGCAATGATTTCAGCATATTTCCGTTCCCGTAATTTCCTTTTCTTCTCGCTGTCGTCTTCTCCCCGTCTGAAATTGAATCGTCGACTTAGACCCGGCAAGAGAGGTTCTGACGTTGCTGGACTCAGCTCTGTAGCTACGCGGGCCAGTGTAGAAGTTAAAAAGACAAAAGCAATATTATGATTAGGCGCGGAAGAAAATATATCGAGAATATGCATCTTTGTGTCAGCCCACGCCGTGGGGGCAAGAGACGTCAAATTCGGGAATGACGTGGACAGTTTGGCCCACAGGATCGGAGGAACGAGGCCGTCCGTTAATGAAGCTAAAAACAACAGTAATATCGAAGATAGCAGTTCCAATTTATGTGGAGAAGAGAGTTCTACTGGCAATACCTCGGTAATGGAAGAGTCGTTATCCAAAGCTGCCACGAGGTCGGCTTTCGTCTCATCCTGTTCTTTCAAACCGGGTGTCCAAGTAGACGAATCAAAAGGCCAACCCGGCTCCCGAGGCAGAGTCATGGATTCCAACATTGCTTCATCGGCAACACACCTTTCCACCAATGTCTGGATTGCCTCTGTCAACTTGAAAATTTCTTTCGGAGCTGAGCATCGAATGTCGGAATCATAGGGAATGGCCCCTTTGATATCCTTCTCAGCTAGAAACTTTCGTATGCCTCCGTCAGGCACTCTGATGAGCTCGTCAATGGAACGTCCGAAACAAGTTGGCAGCCAGACACCTTTGACCGGAATAAAATGGTCTCTGCCGTCCTCTACCCGAAGCACCAAAACATCCTCCATCTTGGCATGGCCATCATTTAAGGCGCGGAGATAGGAAATATCGGAGACTTGGGCTTGAACATGTGCCAGGACAGTCTCTCCAGGTTCTAGCGTGACTTCTTTGCCCAAATCGCTGGCTTCATCATCGTCTGGGTGGAGAAACGATGTGGTCAGCCAAGTCAATGATGTCGAATCGACCTCATCCGTGGTGGGACTCTCGATAAATAAAAGGCTTGCTGGGACACTGCCAGTATTCGCAACTGTAAAAACAGACGACTTTCTCTCCAAGAACCCAATATCGCCAAAGTCAACAGTATTCTCATTACCCGACTTGCCCCCTTCCATGGCAATAGTTATGGCCGGGCGCCCTTCGTTTTCAGCTCTGTCAAGCTCCCAGGCGACCTCGGCGTGAACTTTTGCTTTCAACTCTGGCACAACTGCGTCATATTCAAGGGAGAAGACGGAGATGATGGGTTTGTGGTCTGACGACGTAATGCGCTGGTGTGACGTATAAATGTCAAGAGCAATCCGGTCCACGTAGCCCTCTTTTGTCACAACTTCTCTGGGGATATCATCCTGTGCTTCGTCGTACTCATCGTAGTCATACGCAGCCACCTCAGCTTGCTCGTCCCCGTCTGTGTCGGGGTCATAGCTGAAGAGAACGTCGTCGTCCTCATCTATACCTCTGGATTTCATTTCCTCGTCCTTTTTCTTAGCCGCTATCTCTTCGGCCAATTTGGCGTCAAAGGCTTGTTTATCCCTCCGTGTTCGATACAAAATTCGGTCGCACCAGCTCGGGGCTCGTTGTTTTTCACTAGAATCAAAGAGTCCCACAGTTCCAACGTCGTATTTGTAGGACGGCAAAAATGTAATGGGCCCTTCCCTCCATCCGTCGTGAAATACCTTGCGATGTGCAATCATTCGCCGAAGTTGATCGTGAGGGAGGAGTGAGTCCAGTGTCGCTTGAAGAGACGTTGGGTCCTGGCTCGGGTCTTCTGGGAAATCACCAGGATCCGGAAGTGTGGTTTCAGAATCGAAACTCTGATCTCGTGAGTGAAGTGAAGACCTCATCGTGGTATCGTCATCGCTTTCAGAGTCTCGCATTACAATTATCCCCTCGCCTTCTGGGGGCCGAGGTGTATGGTCGTCGCCCAAAGCGTACTCCCCTCTTGTGTGGAGCGTTAGCAATCTCCTGATATCATGGCCGGGAAGTCCGTCGAGTCGAAAATTCAGGTCACCGAACCAGAATGCAAAATCTTCGTCACCAATCGTCTCGCCGTCGTCCTCGGAAACACCAGCATGCACTACAGGATCGAATTTCGTCTTGGCAAGAATCTGATCAACATCCCAACATCTTCGATCCAAGTAGCTGGAGCCAGCGCCGCTAGCCAAATGGCAGTTGACAAATACCATGCGAGTTGTTTCTCCAAGAACGAGGCGAGACGTGACGGCGCCTTTGTTCCCAAAATATCCCAAGAGACCGGTGCCGACCTGTTTCGTGCTCACGTTGGTTATGGTTGGAGCGACCTCTGGAGATGCATAAATCAAGAGGAGCAAGCCGGTCATTTGCTCCGACATGATGCGTTGATATCCCGGGGGCATAGCAGCTTCCAGCGCAGCTTGCCACTTGCCAACCGGCGAGCTGTCGACATTGACGGCCCGATTCATGTACTCTCTGGTAGCGTTCAAATCCACAACTTCCTGTAAGCCCAAAACATACAGCCCAATATCGTTGCCGCCAAGAAGACGGACAGCGTCGGGGTCGTCCTCGTCACCGGCAGAATCAGGGTGTGCGACAGCAGGATTTCGAGACAGGTCCAAGGTGGCAAAGTGCTTATCGATCCCTTGGCCACCAACAAACCACCTTTCAAGATCTTTGTCTGTCCCAGTGCACGCCGCGACGTTCCAGGTGCCAATCTTGACCCGAATCTTGTGCGGCCGAAGGTACTCGGGGCGGCGTGCGTGTACTGCCCGCGCGAGGGATTGGGGCTCTGTGAGCAAATCTACAGGCTCAAAAGAGCCGGAGTGAGTCGACTGTGGACTTTCTGGAGCAGCCATTTTCGTTGAAATACGTGAAGAGGCGTCAGATCTGCGAAAGTATCGTCTGGTTGTGAGGTTGGAAACTCGCTGCTTTCTGGTGACCTAGACCATGGTGTTTAGATATTCAGACCTATAGCAGCTAGGGACGACAACAACAGCCAGAATACAAGAAAGAAAATATGTAAAATGTATAAAAAGCTATAGTATCATAGCGGAGCCTGGGGAAATATGCATGCAGGGAGCAAGAACATGCCGGCGCAACCGCGTAATCGTGCGTGACGGAAGATGGAGTTGTGACGGGCTGCCCGAGAGAGGTTGAAGCGTCCAAGTTGACTTGGCCCGATGACAAGCTTGGACCAGTTGACCTGTGAAACAAAGTTGACAGCTGAGCACAGGAACCCTGGAAGCCTGGAACCCCGCGGTGGATGCAACTGGCGGGTGTCGTGCAGCGGGCTTGCAGTTGGCTGCCCTTTAATTCTGGCCACATGCACATGCCGGCACTGTTAAGGCCCAAAGCTCTAGAGTCAATTCAATGTTGGAATGCACGTCATAGCTCAGCACTTGGCTCAATCTTGTCATGCACAGACCACAAACAGACCCTGGCAACATTGAAACCTGGAAACATTCAAAAACACGGCATGCATGTGCACTATCGATAAGCTCGCCAGCCCAACATTGAACGCAGCATCCAGCCGGAACTCTGCGCGTGCTCCCATACACTCGCCGCACGCCGTTCATCAGGATATCCATCTCGCACCCTCTTCATCAACGACCGCCGTCAACAATACAGCATAGTTCGGCTACGCATCGACACCACACCCCCACAGTCACTTGCCCAAGGTGGCCCGTTGTCGCAATGAGCAAGCAAACGCCTCGCAAAGCGCGACACTCGCGCCAGCCCTCAAACCTCATACCAGCCGTCTCCGACTACGAATCCGACGCTGCCGCCATTCACGCCGCCTACGCGCCGCCTCCCCCCCGCACAAACACCGAACTGAACTTGTCCGTTCTCCAGCGATATCTCCCATCCATTCAAGCCATTCTTTCCATAGCCGCCAACGCCGTCGTCTACACCTTCGACAGCGAAACCGCAAGCTGGGACAAGTCTGGCATCGAGGGCACCATGTTCGTGTGCGCCCAGTCTCCGCTCCCCGAGAGCCACCAACCGCGGGCGTGTGTGTTTGTCCTCAACCGGAGGGCCTTGGACAACTTGGTGGTTGACCTTGCCCGAGTGAGCCACGTAGAGATCGCCGGCGAACTGGTGATATTGAGAGTGGAGGGTAATTGGGAGGAGGGCGACAAGGTCATCGGGTTATGGATTCACAATGACAAGGACGAGACCAGGGAGATCAGCGGGGCCACGATACAAGAGAGCTGGAAAGTGGCCAGGTCAGCAGCGTCCGCTGAAGAGCAAGGGCCGGAGGCAGGACCTGCCATGCAAGCTATCGGGAAAAGATTATCACTGAGTGACCTGTTTGGGAAGCAGCACGAACACCAGACGGCAAATTATTGAGAGGATTTGTGCATTTTGGTGCGCGAGTGGTTTTGCATACAGAGCAGGCTCGGTTCATGGGGTCACCCGGCCCGTGGACATCATCAAAGTTGGTTAAAGGCAAAGACTCGGGACAAGCAGCACGTCATGTCCAAGATACATGTAGATTGGGGAAATTTCACGAATTGACGAGATACGCAAAAGATATCCTTAGCATATTGAGCTATTAATTCCGAAGAAACTGTAAAAAGTAAAACAGTCGACAAGAAGAAAGCCCACTGTCGGATCAGCCCGTACGCCATTGTAACCAGCCAAATGCAGCGCAACACCGCACACCCTTTTGCACCTAGTGCCGCCCGCCCGAGTCCCCTTTCCCAAGTTATATTTTCTATACAGTCCCGCTGATACTGAGTTCTCGAATCTCTTGCAAAACTTGCTCTACTCTTGCATCTAAGTGTCCCTCGGCGTATAGATCTCTAGTGTCTGCATCCAGGTACTGTTGCACTTGCGCCATTCGAGAGTATGCTTCGGCACAGAATCGCAGCTGAATTTTGACCAACGCTTCGAACGTAGGGTCCAAGTACGGTACCCGCAGATCGATCAGCTGAGGTAGTTCGGAAAAGAGTTGTTCATTGAGCTGTTCATAGGCAAGCTTGGCCATTTCAAGCTCCTTCTCTGTTCGGGGCAGTTTGGTCGCGTCTTTGTCGGGCTTTTCAACAAGTCGCTTCACTTTCGCTCGGAGGGCATCATAATCTAGGAGCTTGTGGGATCTCTTCTTGATGCACTCGTTGACATCGGGGAAGTAAGAGCAGAACCGGTTGATGGGGTCCAATACGGTTGTTCGGTAAGGCCCGTCCAAGGCCTTGATCGTCTCTGAGTCAAGGTCCTCCACAGCTTGTTTGTAGCTTCTGCTGACACCGTCCCTGGCACCGGAATCCCCGTAAAAGGCATCTATCGTTTCCGCTATTCGCATTTGGGACGCAGTCATAGCTATCGCCCAAGGAATTAGCAACGTCCCTCGGTGCGGCCGGCATATCGGATTGTGTTACCTCGAAGTGAGTCCAGATACCCTTTTGCCTCCTTTTGCAATCGCAATGATGCGGCTTCCATCGTCTTGAATCGTCTAGACCATCCATTAGATTCCAACAACAACAACAACAACAACAATACTCATCCCCAAAATAGCCATACCTCTCCTCCAGCTCATAGTCACGATCATTTGTCTTCTCCACATGTCCTAGGCGTTCAGATTAGAAACTTTCGTGAACCCAATCCAAAGATGAATCGGCCATACCCGTCTTCATCATCACCTGCGTCGTCGCGCGATTCACATTCTTCTTGAACCCTAACTCAACGGTCAGCCCCTCTTCCGTCTCACTGCGGGGTCTGAGCTTGTACAAACCCGCCCACGACATCTTGACTGTTCTGTCCTGCTGGAAGAAAAAGGAATGAACAAAATATAAATGGAAACAATGCCGTACGGCTGGATCGCAGTGTGTTGGTGGAGGTAATGGCGTTCGTTTTGCTGGAGAAGGTCGAGAGGGAGAGCGATATCGAGACCAAATCAGATTGCGCAGCCACAGCTAGCGACAGACATCTACGTCAGAAGAATACGAGGCGCAGCGCTGCGAGGCTCGCTCCGCCCCAGAAAACATGACAATCACGTGATGGTGCGTGCCTCTCGTCTTTCAGCCTGTGGCATGAAACGCTCCATTTCCGTTGCTCAACAGTGTGCTCAATCGAGTGCAGCATAATGTTTAATCCGCGTTTCTTAGTGGTCAGTCTCGGAAATCCCTTGCCAAAATATGAGAGCCTCCATTCAGCTGGCCATTTTGCTCTCAACGGCCTCGCCAAAGCACTCAGACATCCGCCCTTTCGCGAGGTGAAATTTGGAAGGCAAACCTGTCTGGTCTCTCAGGGGCCAAAGTACACCCTTGTTCAGTCTCCAACTCTTATGAACATCTCTGGGCCGTTTGTGGCGAAGGTATGGCAAGAAATAGTCCGGCAGCACGACCCATCATCAACAAGTCTTGTTATCGTCCACGATGAATTGGAGAAGGCCCTCGGTGATGTGAGGCTCACACCTTGGGATCGAAGTCATCGAGGCCACAATGGGTTGAAAAGCGTCAAGAAGTCGTTAGTTCAAGACAAATTCCCGGAATCACCATTCGCCCGCATTGCGATTGGCATTGGTCGCCCAGCTGAGCGGGATGCGGCCACAGTCAGCAAGTATGTCTTGGACAAGATCACGGTCGAGCAGCGGAGAGTACTAGAGGAAGCCGTCCCATTAGACGTGGCCAAGAGACTGGTAGAGCTTGAAGACGAGTGGAGAACAGAGATGGAACCCTAATCATCAACGGAGTTGGCAAGTCGAATTGATAATACAGGCTACGACACAAATTGTTTCGACGTTGGCGCAGGTCTCAAATGCGGATGCTTAACTCGGAAGAATCCCACCTGCAATCAGATACGGGCTGTATTTGCAGACCCCCAAGCCATTCGCCAAACGCAGCTTTTGGAAACTTTGCGCCAGCTTCAAACCTAATGAAGGAGTATAGAGAGATTCATAACATGGCAAGAGACATAAGTTTCACATGTTAGGCCTGTCTTGTTATACTGTCTCTGGATCTGTCGAAGCGAACTTCAGTATACCAAAGATATTCACAACGAAGATTGCAGGCCAGACGCCAGGGAGATTGTTCACGCGGCTACGGTATACTTTATGTTGGCTCTTGCCATCATTTTGTCGATTACCCTATCCTCTGGACTCAACAGTAGCACAATTTTTTCTCAACTTCAACAATAAATGCCGACTTGCAGTTGGAGACTTCGTCCCAAGAATGCCATGCAGACCAAAGCTAGCCAGATCCTGTTACAGACCGCCATTGCGCCCAATGCAACGGACTCAAAAAACCTCGTCATTAATGCCCAAGAAGAAGAAGCAGACGGGAGCTTAGTACTCCGTAGTTGGGTTGGTTGAGAGAAGATGGGTCTATCTGGAACAAGTGAGAGGGTTACTATCGCACCAAAAAATGGGCGTGGCCACGCCACATGTATTTGTGTGTTAGCACCTCCTATATCTTCTTGCGACAGTTACCCTGTCACGTCCCTTGGTGGACCCTGAGGAACTGTTGGTGTTGGTGCTGGTGTTGGTCGACTATTCCAGGATGTGCCGCCACACAAAAAGATAAGACTCCGCCCAATCAGAACCCCATGATTTCCCCCCAGATAGCTATCTCTCAGGATTGTGTGGGCGATACGGCTTATTCTCGTTCAAGGCACCGTGGCGTTGCTTCATCACAGCCAATTGAAGACATGGGTGATAAGAATAAGATGAGCTCGTGCAGGGAAAGCCTGACGTACAATAAACTGCTGCAGTATCTCGACATCCCTCTGCCGTCTCCTAAATCCAAAGATGCCGGTGCTCTACATTCACAATGCCCACTGCTGCGCCTCATTCTTCATTTACTTGTTGCACATGGCCAAAACTTTAATGCTCTTTGTCAACTAAAGTGTGTCTTGAACAAATTGAGGCAGTTGGGGCGATCGCAACCGTATTCAAAAAGACGCATTCTTGCGCTTTAAAGAAAGGTGCTTTTACGTCGGTCAGGGAGGAGAGTGCATGTCACATCGGCTACACGAAGGCTGACATGCCCCCAAGCTAATATCTCTTGGCTCATTCTTCAACATATATGCTACGTCTATAGAATAGCCAGCTCTTATCAATGGGGGACGTGGCCGACTCATGTTGCGAAAAAACGTGGCTGTTGTGTATTGCCGATTGGCGCCCCTCCAAGTCATCCTGATAAGATATCGCGCGCCACGTCTTGTTGACCGTCCTCAGAAACTCCAACTGAGGCAAGCTGAGTTTGATGCCTGATGAAGACCGACATCGTCTCATGTGGACTGGTCTATTCATTTCTCAAGGCTCCGCCCCTGCATATCCTCCGACGGGATCCGACGCTGAACTTGGCATGACAAGCTATCTAACCTAAATAGTCATTTATTGCAAAATAATATGCCCTCTAAGTCCCAAAAAGATCAAGTGTCCCTTTTCCCTTTGTTCTCGTCCTGAGGTCTAGGAGGCGTAGCAATGCAGGGGGGTGTTCAGGCGCGGAGATGGTTGAAGATATAATCTGGCAACCCTGCCAATGTCAGTCTTCATTTTTCCTGAAACTCTCTTCCCTTGCATCGGAACCCTCGTTCGCCTTTTCTCTTGTTAACTAGTCGCGCTGAACGTGAACGTGGTTACAAGACGGCGAAGATGGTGGCCGAATACAATGGAACAACCGGCACTGCCGATGCCGGGTACTCGACCAACGTCAATGACCTGAACATTTTCTACGACGTAGGTTTCAAACAGCATTGCATACATATCTCTCCTTGGGAAGTTCCCAGTCTGACATGCCTTGTAGACGGGCAACCTAGCCTTCCTAACCATATCGTCGGTCCTGGTGCTGCTCATGATCCCCGGTGTGGGCTTCTTCTACAGCGGCCTCGCGCGAAGAAAGTCAGCTCTCCAGCTCGTCCTCCTCTCCATGCTCTCCGTGGCCGTCATCGGATTCCAGTGGTTCTTCTGGGGATACTCGTTGACCTTCTCGCGGACCGGAAACGCCTTCTTCGGCGACCTCACTCAGTTCGGCCTCATGAAGACGCTCGCCCAGCCAAACGGCTCCTCTTTCCTCCCCGACATCCTCTTCTGCCTGTACCAGGGAATGTTTGCGGCCATTACGTGAGTTCCCCCAAGAAGACAATACAAGAAGATCGTTTCAAAACCGCAGCAAAGCCTCCTGACCCAAGTTTCTCCCAAAACACACAGGCCAGCTCTCGCCATCGGCGCTGTTGCCGACCGTGGCCGCATCCTGCCCGCCATCATCTTCATCTTCATCTGGTCGACGGTAGTATACGACCCCATCGCCTACTGGACGTGGAACGCAAACGGCTGGCTGTACAAGCTGCCCTCGTATGACTTCGCAGGCGGCGGCCCGGTGCACATCGCCTCGGGCACCTGCGCGCTCGCGTACAGCGTCATGCTCGGCAAGCGATCGGGCTACTCCAAGACGCAGGGCCTCCCCTACCGCCCTCACAGCGTAACCAACGTCGTCCTCGGCACCGTCTTCCTCTGGGTCGGCTGGTTCGGCTTCAACGGCGGCTCCGCGCTGGCCATGAACCTCCGCGCCGTCATGGCCTGCTACGTGTCCAACCTCGCCGCCTCGTGCGGCGGCCTCGCCTGGGTCCTGCTCGACTACCGCCTCGAGAGGAAATGGAGCACCATCGGCTTCTGCTCCGGCGCCATCTCGGGCCTCGTCGCCATCACCCCCGCCGCCGGCTTCGTCACACCCTGGGGCGCCGTCATCGTCGGCCTCTGCGGCGGCGCCTGCTGCAACTTTGCCACCAAGCTCAAGTTCCTGACGGGCGTCGACGACGCCCTCGACATCTTTGCCGTCCACGGTATCGGCGGCATGGTCGGCAACATCCTCACTGGCATTTTTGGAGCGTGCGTTCTTCTCAACCCCTGCGTTTCTTTTTCTTCCCCTCGTCAGTCGAGCTTTGGCAAAAAAAGAGAGAGCCTCCAACTAACACCGCGTCATTGTAGATCGTACATTGCTGCCCTCGACGGCAACACCTACTCTCCTATCGGCTGGATCGAACACAACTGGGTCCAGCTGGGCTACCAGCTCGCCGGCATTTGTGCGGCGTTTGGCTGGTCCTTCGTGCTGACCTGCATCATCCTGTTCCTCATGAACCTCGTCCCCGGCTTGAGTCTCCGCGTCTCCGCTACCGAGGAAGACGTCGGCATCGACGACGCTCAGCTTGGCGAGTTTGCCTACGACTACGTCGAGCTAACGCGCCACGTAGCCGACTCCTCGTCTCCGGGATCCATGTCGTCCAGCAGTTCCACCCACGAGAAGAATACCCGAGAAGTTGTCTAAACGGTCCGCGGCATTTTGAAGATCGTTTATTTGTTGGGGAGTCTGGGAGGCAATGTCAGAGCGTCCGTTTTCGTTTCTTTAGATAGCCTGCATTGATACCATTTAGAGAGAATAATCATGCTTGGAGTTGATACTTTGCCAAGGTTCCTTTTAAATGATGGCCAGTCATTGCTGCTTAAAATGTGGGGACACGGACCGGCCCGACATTCCCAATAATAGGCTACAGTTGTAGCTACCTACCCAGGTAGGTAACTACTTGTTGATGTGACAAATTATGGTTTCCATCAATGTCAAAGGACTCGACAAAAAGTTGGCTAAAAATGCCGCCCAGTATCCATTCTACTTGGGCCCTGTGAATATTGATGTATGTTTAGCTCGACATGTAGATGAAATTTCTGTTGACAACGTAAAATGATTCATTGAATTCAACAGCGCCGATGCAAATGCTCTAGTTACTACATCAATCCTCAACTACAGCGTCGCTCCTTCATAAAGCCAATTTTAACCATGTGGTATACCTGAGTCATTGTATTCATAACATTCATCCCTCCCAAGAAACGCAGTGAACTCCGCTTGTGCAGCTGGAAAAGAAATGATGCCTCTGTCGGATCCTCCCGTCGCCATTCTTATGTTTAATATACTTGCCTGGTGGATGACTTTCGTCTACTCGCTCAAATGATGGGGCTAGTTCCCTCCTCTTTTTCAGGTTTGGCCAAACCCTACTTTTCAAGTGAAAAAAATGCTTTTCGCCGCTACCCTTTCCACGAGACCCATGTCACTCAAACAGTTCAAATAGTGAATCATTGCTGTTCGTCATCTGGAGGGTGCTGGTGCAGAGGAGCTGTGCTAGCTCCAGTGCCATTTGCTAGACCACTTGCAGAGGATGTTCTCGCCCGTTGGGGAATTGATTGCGAGGTCAAATTGGCTATACTTGCCTGCGCTCGCCCATTAGCGCTAAGTGGTGGATTGCCAGTCGCTGGTTCGTTGGTGATGAAGCTAGAAAAAGCCAAAGGTCCCACTAAAGCCGCGTATTGCTGTTCCAAACTCGGAATCGCCGGGTGAGCATGACTAGCCGAAGCAAAAGGATACTGCATAATTCCAGGTGCTGGAGGCGGCGGCGGCGGTACTGGGATCGATGGCGCGGAAGACGCAAGCGCAGCAGGAATGTGTGGTGGATTCTGGGCCGCTGGGTCAACTGCCATGTCGGTTCCTTCGAGGCCCTCAAAGTCATTCTCTTCATCAGGCATTTCATCGTCAAAGCCTTCACCTTCAGCGGCGTTGAGATAGTTGGCCATAGCTTGTGAACGTCTAGCAGCCGCACCCCTGATCCGACTGCCCCCGGCTCGGTACGGCAGGCTTTCCCGGAGCTCTGCGAATTGCGATGAGGTGTTGAGGAACTCACGGAACTGGGAGACCATACTGCCAGAAAAGACACAAAAGACGTCGCGTTGGTGCTGAGTAAATTCTGTTTCCAAGATGTTAGAATCAAAATAGAGGAGAAAGGGAGTCGACCAAAACCAAATTCTGTACACTTACCAACCGGCGCAACTCTGCAGTAAGCTTGGAAATCATCCCGTTGAAAAGCAGCAACGCCAGTCAAACTAAGGTGAGTGAGTCTTGGGCATGAGTTGAGCAGCCTCATGATGCTCTGGTCTTTGTCAGAACTGAAAATGACTGGCATGCGTGCAAAAAGGTCGCAAGGCATAAAATAGACTCACCTTTAATGTCAAATTAATACAATAGCTCAGATGGACGCGCTCCAGGCTAGGTGTGTAGTATTCCCCTCCGATAAACACTCCGCTAGCATCTCTCCGTACTCTGGGCCGATAAGCGGCTTCAGCCAAGGCAAAGACGGATTCATCGGTGATGGAACTGCACTTCACAAGACCAATTCTCTTTAGTTTCGGGAGCAACGCCAATCGCTTTACGGAGTCGTCTGTCAAGTTTGTGCAACAGCCCAAATCGATATATCTGATACGATTGCAACTCTGTACGAGCTTCTTAACACCCTCGTCAGTAATTTGGCCGCAGTGGCCTAAATGAACGTAGTGAAGGTTCTTGCCAAGCTTCGAGATGGCGTGTACGGCGGCATCCGTAATATTGCGGCACTTGGCAAGGACCAAGTTGCGAAGGCGGGGGGCAACGTCGATAATTTTTTCCACGGCGGCATCAGTAAGGCGTGTGCAGGAAGTCAAGTCGAGGATTCGGAGATGTTCATAGGTCCGCACTCGCTTGTCGGGAAGATTTAAAAATGCACTATCGTCGATGAGCTCGCAACTGGCGAGCCGGAGCTCTCGCAAGCAGGTTCCTCTGAACAAGAGGGATGTAACTGGAGCGTTCCCAATATGCATGCATTGGTGGAGATCGATTTCAAGAATGTTGGGGCATAGTTCCGCAAAGGCGAGAATAGCATTATCGCGAAGTTGTACACATTCGTTTAGTTTCAGCTAAAAAGGCGGAAAGGGAAAGGAATCAATACGTTAGTCAACGATGGCTCCCAGAGCAGAAAGTTTTGCAGGGAATCATGGCATACCCTTTTGATATATTTACAGCTTTGTGCAAGGTTAATCATACTCTCGTTGGAGATGCCGTCACAGCCGGAGATGTTGAGGCCTTGCAGCCTCTTGCAGTATTGGGCAATAGTATTAATGGACTGCTCAGTAATGTTCTTGTCGTTGGAAATATCCAAAGCCAGCAGCGACGGGCTATTCTCAACCAGAGCGATCAGGCCAGAGTCGGTCAAGCCCCGGCAGTTTGTCAGCGTCAACCTCTCGACCCTGGTGCAGGCGGCCAAGGGCAGGACGCTTCCATCGTTGACCTTGTCAGCAAGGGCGGCGAGGTTTAATCGCTTTATGAAGTCGCGGTAGCTGAAGAAAGGGCGCTCGAGGCCCAGGGTCTGGCAGATGCTGCTATGATTTCTCCAGTTGGTGCAGGCAGGGCGGTGCCACAACAGGTCGACGGCGTTGCGAGCCCATCGCTTGGATACCAGCATACAGTGATACAGGTCTGATGTGGCGCCGAGCTTGGCGAAGATGCTGATGAGGATCTCGTTGGGCAGCCTGTTGATGGGCGGCCAGCACGAGTCCTCGACCTGCATGTCCTGGAAGTTGGGGACGCCCAAAGACGACTCGGAGTCGTTGGCGCCAAGAAAGAAATCGGACTCTTCGTTGTCGGCAGGGACGGGCGAGGCGGTAGAAGACGACGAGCGGGAGTCGTCCTGTTCGTCGGGGACAGCGCTGGCCCTGGTAGCCATCATGTTGGCGGGCGCGGCTGAGGGAATCATGGCGATGGTGGAAATGCGAGGCCTTCACTTCCCTTGATGGCCGGCGGCCCAGCTGGTTGCTTTGTAGCTGCGGGGCAGGCAGGGTGAAGCTGAAGGCGCCCAGTCAGCCTTCTTCGAGCAGTTGGGTAGCCAGGAATCAGGGCAATAAGGCGCAGACGGCCGGGACAGACAGCCTGGGCCTGACGAGAGGCCGACGGCTGCGGACGTTGCGGTCGGGTCGATGCGTCGATGCGTCGATGTAATCGCCTGGCAGCACGGCGATGCAGCAGGCGGAGCGAGAGGTGGTGAAGGAGATAGATGGGAGCACTCAATGAGACCAGGAAAAAAGGAAGCCCGTTGATAAGGCCAGTTGGGGGCAGAGTTGGGGGGCGCCAGACAGCCTCTGACGGCCAGGGCTGGGGCTGCGGCGCTTCGGTCAGGTCAAGTCTGGTCGCTTTCGATGTCAAACGCTTGGAAGCGTGCGCAGGTCAACGTGCAGGTCAACGGTGTGTCACAGCCCTTGAGTCAGCGATGACTATACCGAGTAACCGGCTGGCTGATGCTGCTTCAATTTTCAAATGGAGTTTTAACAGCAGGCACCGGCGGATCTGTCAAAGCGATCACGGGTGGTGCTTGCGGATCTCTCGTCTCTTCCCATGAGTGTTTGTTTGAGGCGACCAAACAAGGCACATGCTCGGGGGGGCAGCGGCTTGACGGCCAGGCGTTGATGGTGCACGTCACCCGCAGCCGTAGCGTTGTGGCGCTGGAACGCGGCCGACACCCAGCGGGAAACCCGGCGGAGACCCAGCACAGGGCGCATGTGGTCATGGATTCAATGTTGACATGGACCAGACTGGATGTGTTGAAACTGCGCAGGGCACATGTGCACGCACCAGTTGACCGTTCATGCTACTAGTACGGAGTACCTGCTAGCCCTTGGGCCGCAGGGAGGGCAGCTTTGTCTGGTGCCATCAACAGACCAGACGGCAGCTCCTTCCCCAGCCCGTCTGACATGCAGACTGGACAATGAATGCCGCCGCCGACATCACGAGCTGGAGAAGCCGAGTCTCGAAATCAACCAGTCATTCAACCTCTCTTCTGTCGACAAGGCCGTGGCTTCTTTGCGCGTACCGAGCAGCCTGCTCCGTGCCGTCTCAGCAAAATAAGCAGCCAGCGGAGCCTTGATTACATTGATGCTGTTTCATCAAACACAGCGGCGACTCTATACCCGGCTCCCCGATCCAAGTGCCCGTCCGAACAAAGTCTGCTCGTTCCATAGTAGCTGTTATTCTTGGTAGCGAGGCCCTCGCACGGGCATTGCCCCAAGCCTTCAATATTCAGATCCCACTAGGCCCCTGGCTTTGACACCGGCACGGACATTCATGGCTCATGAGACACCAAGGCATGATGCCTGATGCATTTTGTGGCTTTTTGAACATTTGCCCCGTTGGGAGCTCTGAAACTCTGCTGTTTCTGGCCCCCATGCTGACCAACCTTTCGAACAAAGGCTGCCATTCAGCTGCTCGCCCAGGAATGTCACACGGGAAGAGCACGTGACCCTCTGACGTGTCCTGGCAACCTTCTTGATCTTTGCGATTCGAGATTCTAATCTACACTTGTTAGAACATGCCATTCACTGCTACTCTTGTCGCTGCTTTATCAGTGGTTGCCATGACGGTGATTCAGGCGAGACCGCGGCACCCCCTTCTCGCCCCATAACACAGGGCCTAAGCATCAA